AGGAGGGGGGAGCCGGGGGGGGTTCGGGCTCTGCTCCCAGGGAACAAGGGACAGGAGGAGAGGGAACAGCCTCAGGCTGGGCCAGGGGAGGGTCAGGTTGGATATTAGGGAAAATTTCCTCCTGGAAAGGGTGGTCAGGCATTGGAAGGGGCTGCCCAGGCCATGGTGGAATCACCATCCCTGGAAGTGTTCAGACAAGGTGTGGATGTGGCACTTGGGGACAGGGGTTTGGGCTTTGCAGGGCCAGGTTAACGCTCAGTCTCGATGACCTCAGAGGCCTTTTCCAACCTTAATGATTCCATGATCCTAATATCTGAGGGGAATTTGCTGCTCTTGGTGACTGGTCCATGTCTGGCTGGAGATGTTTAGAAGTTGTCTCTTTGTGTTCAGTGAACTCAGTAAATATTTCCCAGACAAGCCACGACAGGATGAGAGGGAGTGGCCTCAAGTTGTGCCGGGACGAATTTTAGATTGGATATTAGGGAAAATTTCTTCATGGAAAGGGTTGTCACAGGCTGCCCAGGGCAGGGGTGGAGTCCCCATCCCTAGAGGGGTTTAAAATCCCTGTGGATGTGGCACTTGGGGACATGGCTTAGGTGTGAGGGCGACAGCGCCGGTTAAAGGTTGGACTCCGTGATCTCCGAGGTCTTTTCCAACCTTAAGGATTCTGTGAGTCCACCAGAATTCCAAAACTGAAAAGCAAAATCACATTGAAGTCAAGAGGGTGACAAGACAAAAGGACCTTCAGGACAAACCCATGCAAATCTTCTGCTCACAGCAAGCAAACCCAACCTGAGGAGTCTCAACTCCATGGACCAGGAGCTCCAGGGAAACTGGAAAGGGTCGGAATTTCCTCTGGCTCAGAAAAGCAAGACTTGACCCTATAAATCCTCCTCTCAGTGCTGCTGCTCTTGCTCTCTCCAGCTCTTTCAGCAACATTTAGAAGAAATCAAGAGATTAATCATGAACTAAAGGCCTGATGTGATGGTAACTTCAACCTAAGGCCTTATTTATTACCCTCAGACACTCAGACAGCTCCTGAGAGCCCTCAGAACAAACCCTGATGTTCCATGAGGCAAAGAGACTTAAAAATTGCTTTAATTATAAGCTCTTTCAGCAACATTTAGAAGAAATCAAGAAATTAATCATGAACTAAAGGCCTGATGTGACTGTAACTTCAACCCAAGGACTTATTTATCACCCTCAGACAGCTCCTGAGAGCCCTCAGAACAAACCCTGACGTTCCATGAGGCAAAGAGACTTAAAAATTGCTTTAATTACAAACCCTTTCAGCAACATTTAGAAGAAATCAAGAAATTAATCATGAACTAAAGGCCTGATGTGACTGTAACTTCAACCCAAGGCCTTA